AAAAATACTACTAAAATACTAAAAACATACTTTAAATACTAAAAATACTACTAAAAAATACTAACAACATACTAAAAAATACTACTAAAATACTAAAAACATACTTTAAATACTAAAAATACTACTAAAATACTAACAACATACTAAAAAATACTACTAAAATACTAAAATAAGGCGCCAGAGTTGAAAAAGAAATAAATCTACAGTGTGATTCGTTAGCAGTGAGGTTCTTTCAACATCATGGTTCTGTTAGCAGTGTGGTCTTGTTAGCAGGTCTGGTCAGCAGCTTGATGGTAATAACGACATCATCAGCTGCCCTCCCAGACTGTCTCCAGAACCGAGTCCAGCAGACAGAAAACATCCCAGGTTTCCCCGCGGAACCGAACAGGTCCGTAGAGTTCGGTCCGTGCAGGCAGATGGAGGATCTTGTTAGCGGCGTTAGCAGGCCCCGCTAGCAGCTTAATGATAATGACATCAGCAGCTGCCCTCCCAGACTGTCTCCAGAACCGAGTCCAGCAGACGGAAAACATCCAAGGTTTCCCCGCGGAACCGAACAGGTCCGTAGAGTTCGGTCCGTCAGGCAGATGGAGGATCACGGACATGGGCCACCATAACAGGCCAGAGCCTGAGCCCGAGGCTGGAGCAGAGCCGGGAAATGAAGCAGGATGGCAAGGCAGCGACGCACAACTCCTCAAGCGTGTCGCGGTCGTACCTGTAGCGTGGGTGTAGGCCTGTCACAATTACAAATTTTACTGGGCGAGTCATTGTCTCAGAAATTATTGCGATAAACGATAACGTTGTTTGCAATTTGATAATAATTAGTAATTATTATTGTCAAATTTAAGAATAAATTTTATTTGTTTTGAGTGTAGTACCCTTTATTGTACTACACTCAAAACAAATTGACCAACATTTTTTATTTTTATTGGTAGGTGGAGCTCTCGGTTCTGTTGACAGGATAACGGCTCCTTGGGTAACGGTAGGGGAAACACCACTGTTGTTGCTCTTCTGCTTTTTAAACAAAAAGTAATTGTAAGAAGCGTGTGAACCTTCAGATGGGAGGGAAATAAGATGAATCTGCATTTAAATGTATCAACAAATCATCTCATGCTGTTTGGCTCTCCCAAGTCTTTGCTGTTCAGTTAGTAAAGCTTCCTGAATGGGAGGTGAAATGTCTTCCACTACAGAATAGAAGTCCAGTTGCTGTTTCTTTAATAAATGTTCTTTAAAGGAGCGTTGAGAACCAGACAAGTTGATATTGGCTGATGATGTTCGCTTCCTTTGTAAGAATACAAGTTTAAGGGATTTTCTCCCTCAGCTACAGCTGAATGTTGGATCAGGCCTACAGGGATGGGGTGAAATTAAGAAATGAATAAACCTAATCTTTGTCATTTTGTTTGTAGGCATTTAAATCACAGGAACAGTATAATAAATAAATTTAGTGGCTGACACCGTGACCTTTTTAATGCTGCTTGAAGCTGGTGATTGACCCATGCCTAATTTGGACATTAAATCGTTAATCTTTATTTATAGTAGTTTGGTAACCAAATGCAGAGATCTTGTGAGTTTTCGGTGTTTCTCCCTGACAATCACAGACCATAATACTTGATGTCGAAACATATGGCTCTCAGTGGAAAAACCACCTCCACAGGGAGGTGAAAGGTCAGCTGCTTGCCAGCATTCCTGTTGAGGATTCTGCGTCTTGTTTGCACTTGCATCAACTTACTACTTTCTATTCCCCAAACGGACCTGGTTTAAAGACGAAATCAGGCCTTCGTCTTTGTTTTGGCTGTGATGTTCATCATAAGAGACACTTGTTCCTGAGACAGCTGGATGCTTTTGAGCAAACACAAAATGTTTTATGTTTGAAGAAAATAGTTTTACAGCAGTACATGTAACTTTTATTCTACATAGTTTGTTTGTGTAAGGTATAGCAGCTAATATCTCACCTGTTGTAGATGGCTCTTTAAGTGGCCTCAGTTTTGACAGGACTGATGAGTTGAGAGCTAGTCTGAATGCAGCAAAGACTGAAGTGCTGCATTTCTAAAACAACCCCGATCACCAAACGTAATATTAGTTCCTGTAAATGCTATTTTATGAAGCTTTATCTCAGTCGTATGTATAATTTTATGGTTATTTACAATCCTTTAAGGCACCAGCAGTAGTGACATGTGGCACCTCAGATGCATCCAGGGGTCATAAAGTACATCCTATTTCTGCCAAACTAACTCGTGTGAAATTGATGGTGGTGTAAAGGTTTAGATAATAGTGTTCACCTGAACTGCTATAAATTTGTAAAGGAGGAACTGTTTTAAAATCTGATTTGAAAGTGTGTTCAGAGCAGCCGTTCGCAGCTCATCAGAATGTTTGGTTGAACCTCATTTTGAGTTTGAAGAGAAGCTTCTTAATTGGCTCAAACCTTTCAGCTGATAGATTCTGCTGTGTATATGTCAAAGTTTTAACTTTTCTTTGTTTTCTTTGCCTGTGGTCCCCCCCCCCACCCACCCCCGATTTTTCTCATTTTTTTCCCTAACAACACTCCCTTCCCTCCCATCATCTCCCCCATGTCCCCCATCTAAACTACAGCAGTTCAGCGCGGTCGCATCCCACCTCAGCCAAGCCTCAGTCCTTCCATGACACCCATAGGTGGTGCCAGCGGCCTGGGAGGTGGCGAGTTTTACAACAACAACAACGGAGGAGGAGTGGGTGGAGGTCAGCCCGTGTCTGAGCTCATTTCCCAGCTGCTGCGAGCCGAGCCGTATCCCAGCAGTCGATATGGACATCAGTACAACCAGCAGACCGGTCCAGAGAACTCCATGGGCATAGATAATATCTGTGAACTGGCTGCTCGTCTGCTCTTCAGCACAGTGGAGTGGGCCAGAAACATTCCTTATTTCCCTGAGCTGCCTGTGTCGGACCAGGTTAGCAGATTGGATCTTATTTTTAGATGACATCTGGACATGACCTTACTATCAAATGCTAATCTATCAGTAGGGAACGGACAAGTTCAACACTGTTGCTGCATTAAAATGTAGAATAGACACGGGCATTATTATTATTATTATTATTATTATTTGTATCTACAGGTGGCGCTGCTGAGGCTAAGCTGGAGTGAGCTTTTCATCCTCAACGCAGCACAGTCGGCCCTGCCGCTCCACATGGCACCCCTGCTGGCTGCAGCTGGCTTTCACTCGTCGCCGATGTCGGCCGAGCGCGTGGTGTCCTTCATGGACCAGGTGAGGATGTTCCAGGACCAGGTGGACAAGCTGACAAGGCTGCAGGTGGACTCAGCTGAGTACAGCTGCCTCAAGGCCATCGCGCTCTTCTCACCAGGTGATCAGATGAACCGTGTGCATTCCCTGCTGCGGTTTTAACGCGGCTCACAGCAAACACCTCCTGTGGCTGCTCACTGCAGAAGTTTAGTCTTGTTCAGGTTGTGAGGAATGTACAAGTGCAGTACTAAATATATTCAGAAAATTTACAATAAAGTTTAAAATTGACTATTAGCATAAAGTTGAATGGTAGAAAAATACAAATAACATAAAACATATTATTTTAAAAAATACACTATAACATATATACAAACCGGATTCCCAAAAAGTTGGGACACTAAACAAATTGTGAATAAAAACTGAATGCAATGATGTGGAGATGGCAAATGTCAATATTTTATTCATAATATAACAGATGACAGATGAAAAGTTTAATCTGACTAAATGTAACATTTTAAAGGAAAAATATGTTGATTCAAAATTTCACAGTGTCAACAAATCCCAAAAAAGTTGGGACAAGTAGCAATAAGTGGCTGGAAAAAGGAAATTGAGCATATAACGAACAGCTGGAAGACCAATTAACACTAATTAGGTCAATTGACAACATGATTGGGTATAAAAAGAGCTTCTCAGAGTGTCAGTGTCTCTCAGAAGCCAAGATGGTAAGAGGATCACCAATTCCACCATTGTTGCGCAGAAAGATAGTGCAGCAATACCAGAATGGTGTTACCCAGCGTAAAATAGCAAAGACTTTTAAGTTATCATCATCAACCGTGCATAACATCATCCAAAGATTCAGAGAATCTGGAACAATCGCTGTGCGTAAGGGTCAAGGCCGTAAAACTCTACTGGATGCTTGTGATCTCCGGGCCCTTAAACATCACTGCACCTCAAACAGGAATGCCACTGTCAAGGAAATAACAGAATGGGCTCAGGAATACTTCCAGAAAGCATTGCCAGTGAACACAATCCACCGTGCCATCCGCCGTTGCCAGCTGAAACTCTACAGTGCAAAGGGGAAGCCATTTCTAAGCAAGCTCCACAAGCTCAGATGTTTGCACTGGGCCAGGGGTCATTTAAAATGGAGTGTGGCCAAATGGAAGACTGTTCTGTGGTCAGATGAGTCACTATTTGAAGTTCTTTATGGAACACTGGGACGCCATGTCATCCGGACCAGAGAGGATAAGGACAGCCCAAGTTGTTATCAGCGCTCCGTTCAGAAGCCTGCATCACTGATGGTATGGGGTTGCATGAGCGCTTGTGGCATGGGCAGCTTGCATGTCTGGAAAGGCACCATTAATGCAGAGAACTATGTTCAGGTTCTAGAACAACATATGCTCCCATCTAGACGTCATCTCTTTCAGGGAAGACCCTGCATTTTTCAACACGATAATGCCAGACCACATTCTGCAGCAATCACAACATCATGGCTACGTAGGAGAAGGATCCGGGTACTGAAATGGCCAGCCTGCAGTCCAGATCTTTCACCTATAGAGAACATTTGGCGCATCATAAAGAGGAAGGTGCGACAAAGAAGGCCCAAGACGATTGAACAGTTAGAGGCCTGTATTAGACATGAATGGGAGAGCATTCCTATTTCTAAACTTGAGAAACTGGTCTCCTCTGTCCCCAGACGTCTGTTGAGTGTTGTAAGAAGAAGGGGGGATGCCACACAGTGGTAAAAATGGACTTGTCCCAACTTTTTTGGGATTTGTTGACGCCATGAAATTTGGAAACAACAGATTTTTCCCTTAAAATGATACATTCTCTCAGTTTAAACTTTTGATCTGTGATTTGTGTTCTATTCTGAATAAAATATTAGATGTTGGCACCTCCACATCATTGCATTCAGTTTTTATTCACAATTTGTTTAGTGTCCCAACTTTTTTGGGATCC